TTTTAAAAGAATGCATCAAATGGAAATGGAAAAGGTGTTAACATCATACATGTTTGATTATAGGGTTGCGGATGAAGATCCACAACCATAATTTGATCAAGATGAAGTTGTACAGTTCATCTATAGTGAACATGTTGTTCCAATTGTGGGTAAGTTGATTTATCTTGAAATAAAAATTATCTCATGATTGTTATTTTCTTTTTAATTTATTATTTTGCATTTTGAGTAGATCGCAATGAAATTTGCTATGGAAATACATGTGCCCAATACATCGAACTTTAAATTTTATACTCCCTCCTATTTTAATGAATGTTGTTTTGAGAAGTTGCACAGTAATTAAGAATATATTTTTCGCCAATAATAACCCCTTATTAATGAGGATAGAGATGAATGTTTTGAGAAAAGATGGTGAGTGAATATGAAAAGACGTAGTGTATTTATTAGTTAAATGAGGGTAATAATGAAAAAATATGTACAAAATAGTCAAAACGACATTTATTTAACAAATGATCAATTAAGCCAGAATGACAAATAATAAAAATAGGAAGGAATATATCATATCATATCATTGATATAAAAACTGACAATATTTAGATAAAATTACTAATAAAAAATACTAACTCCTATTTTTTTTAAATATCATTTTGGCTTTATCAACAATTAATCAAATAAATAACGTTTCGAATCTTTTGTAATTTGTACATATTTTTTCATTATTACCTTCATCCAGCTGATAAATACACTACGTATTTTCATATTCAATCTTCATATTTTCTCAAAACATCCATGTGTATCCTCATTAATGAGGGTTATTATTGGCAAAAAAATAAATCTTAATTATTGTGCAACTTCTCAAAACGACATTTATTAATTTTAGGATGGAGTAACTATTATTGTATCATATCAATTTTGAGTGGATCGCAGTGAAATTGATATGAAAATACATATGCCAAATACATGTATAGAGTGTACGCAAATCAATCCACAAAATAACTAGACTGACTCGTACCAAAAAATTTAGTATACTTTATTATAAAATGTCATAATCCAAATATTTAAATAAAATTTTATTATTTATAGCATAAATATATAATTTGTACTAAGAAAATATTCAGGTCAACCCGATTAATGACTAGACTTAATACACGTACTCTCGTAAAATCCTAACATAAGAGCACCCACTATGCATTGAGTTTCTTAATAAAATATCATATGTCACATGGGAAATAGATTTAGTCTATAAAAAAATGTCTCACAATGCAACTAAAAATGGACATGGTTTAACTTATGTGGCAATCAAAAAAGGAGATCAAATCCACACTTGTGTCTATTTGGACCCAAGTGCAAACCCAAACACTTATCATTTATTCTTAATTTCATTTTCTTTTTAATAAAGAAAACATATTAAAGCATTTTCATTAGTTGACATGTGTGCTAGACCTAGTATTTTATTTTTGCATTGAATAGCTTTTGAGTTCTTTTACTTGAGTTTGTCCATGTCATTTAAGACTTAAATCCATTTATATACCACATATGTAAAATTACTAAATTAGACCCAATGCATAACATACTTATGTATATCATTTATTTAACCTTGAGCAGTACTACCAACACCTTTATTAAAAAGGACAATTTTTTAATTCCTCTCTGAGTTCTCTCTCTCATTCCTAGCGTGCTCTGTTCCCAACACAGTATTACTGTACTCTGTCTGCAACACGGACACTGAGAGAGGGTGAAAGAGAATTAAAGGCGTGTTTGGCATTAAACATGGTTTTGAGCTCCACAAAATGCAAATGTGCCTCTCTCTTCGTGTTCCTCTTGGCTACCTCTGCTTTTGCTGCTCCAGTTGAAGACGGTATTCTCTCTCTCTCTCTCTCTCTCTCTCTCTCTCTCTCTCTCTCTGCCTTCTGTTTTTGTATTTGTGTTTGTTGTTTGATGTGGAAACCTTAATATGTCCGAGATCTGAGAATTTCTGCAGTCAGCTTGCCGATTTTCCGACATTTTTTGTTTTTAACTTTTTGTGTCTTCATTAGTGTGAGATGGTGAAAAGATTTGAGTAGTTGTGTGTGATTTGAATGTTTGGTCATGGATTGAGGGATTTTTCAGGGCTTTAGAGTTGTGAAATTTTGCTCTTGGAGTGGTAAATACTAATGGTGGAAAATTTTGGGGGAATGTGTAATGATTGTTGTGCATTTGATTGTCCGCCATTGGCCGCCCTTCACATTGAATGTGCAAGCTACACACAAGTTGTGT